AAGGTGTCAATGTAAATAGTCCGGGTGGCCATTTCATTAATTGTTCAGCAATCTTATAGCTTGGAGATAGAAGCTGTCAAGGAGCCTTGTGGACCCAGACTTGGCGCTCCGGTACCGCTTGCCGTGAGGTAGCAGAGAGAACAGTCTATGACTTGGGTGACTGGAGTCTGACCATTTTTTGGGTCTTCCTCTGACACCGCCTAGTATATAAGTTCTGGATGGCAGGAAGCTTGGCCCCAGTGATGTATTGGGCTGTACGCACTACCCTCTGTAGCGCCTTATGGTTGGATGCCGAGCAGTTGCCATACCAGGCAGTGATGCAACCGGTCAGGATGCTCTCAATGGTGCAGCTGTAGAACTTTTTGAGGATCTGGAGACCCATGCCAAATGTCTCCTGAGGGGGAAAAGCTGTTGTCGTGCCCTCTTCACGACTGTCTTGGTGTGTTTGGACCATGATAGTTTATTGGTGATGTGGACAACAAGGAACTTGAAACTCTCGACTCGCTCCACTACAGCCCCGTCGATGTTAATGGGGGCCTGTTCGGCCCTCCTTTTCCTGTAGTCCACGATCATCTCCTTTGTCTTGCTCACATTGAGGGAGAGGTTGTTGTGATGGCACCACACTGAGAGGTCTCTGACCTCCTCCCTATTGGCTGTCGCATTGTTGTCGGTGATCAGGCCTACCACTGTTGTGTCGTCAGCAAACGTAATGATGGTGTTGGAGTTGTGCTTGGCCACGCAGTCGTGGGTGAACAGGGAGTACAGGAGGGGACTAAGCGCACACCCCTGAGGGGCCCCGGTGTTGTGGATCAGTGTGGCAGATGTGTTGTTACCTACCCTTACCACCTGGGGGAGGCCCGTCAGGAAGTCCAGGATCCAGTTGCAGAGGGAGGTGTTAAGTCCCAGGGTCCTTAGCTTAGTGATGAGCTTTTTGGGCACTATGGTGTTGAACGCTGAGCTGTAGTCAATGAACAGCATTCTCACATACAGTGCCTTGCAAAAGTATTCATCCCCCTTGGCGTTTTTCCTATTTTGTAGCATTATAACCTGTAATTTAAATTGATTTTTATTTGGATTTCATGTAATGGACATACACAAAATAGTCCACATTTGTGAAGTGAAAAACTTTTAAAAAATAAATAAAAATAACCGAAAGGTGGTGTGTGCATATGTATTCACCCCCTTTGCTATGAACCCCCTAAATAAGATCTGGTGTAACCAATTACCTTCAGAAGTCACTAATAATTAGTTAAATAAAGTCCACCTGTGTGCAATCTAAGTGTCACATGATCTGTCACATGATCTCAGTATATATACACCTGTTCTGAAAGGCCCCAGAGTCTGCAACACCACTAAGCAAGGGGCAGCATCAAGCAAGCGGCACCATGAAGACCAAGGAGCTTTCCAAACAGGACAGGGACAAAGTTGTGGAGAAGTACAGATCAGGGTTGGGTTATAAAAAAATATCTGAAACTTTGAACATCCCACGGAGCACCATTAAATCCATTATAAACAATTTGAAAGAATATGGCACCACAACAAACCTGCCAAGAGAGGGCCGCCCACCAAAACTCACGGACCAAGCAAGGAGGGCATTAATCAGAGAAGCAACAAAGAGACCAAACATAACCCTGAAGGAGCTGCAAAGCTCCACAGCGGAGATTGGAGTATCTGTCCATTAGGACCACTTTAAGCATCACACTCCACAGAGCTCGGCTTTACGGAAGAGTGGCCAGAAAAAAGCCATTGCTTAAAGAAAAAAAGAAGCAAACATGTTTGGTGTTCGCCAAAAGGCATCTGGGAGACTCAGATGAGACTAAAATTGAGCTTTTTGGCCATCAAGGAAAATGCTACATCTGGCGCAAACCCAACACCTCTCATCACCCTGAGAACACCATCCCCACAGTGAAGCATGGTGGTGGCAGCATCATGCTGTGGGGATGTTTTTCCATCGGCAGGGACTGGGAAACTGGTCAGAATTGAAGGAATGATGGATGGCGCAAAATATAGGGAAATTCTTGAGGGAAACCTGTTTCAGTCTTCCATAGATTTAAGACTGGGACGGAGGTTCACCTTCCAACAGGACAATGACCCTAAGCATACTGCTAAAGCAACACTCGAGTGGTTTAAGGGGAAACATTTAAATGTCTTGGAATGGCCTAGTCAAAGCCAAGACCTCAATCCAATTGAGAATCTGTGGTATGACTTAAAGATTGGAGCAGTTTTGCCTTGAAGAATAGGCAAAAATCCTAGTGGCTAGATGTGCCAAGCTTATAGAGACATACCCCAAGAGACTTGCATCTGTAATTGCTGCAAAAGGTGGCTCTACAAAATATTGACTTTGGGGGGGGTGAATAGTTATGCACGCTCAAGTTCTGTTTTGTCTTATTTCTTGTTTGTTTCACACACAAAAAATATTTTGCATCTTTAAAGTGGTAGGCATGTTGTGTAAATCAAATAATACAAACCCCCCAAAAAATCTATTTTAATTCCAGGTTGTAAGGCAACAAAATAGGAAAAATGCCAAGGGGGGTGAATACTTTTGCAAGCCACTGTAGGTGTTCCTTTTGTCAAGATGGGAAAGGGCAGTGTGGAGTGCGATTGAGATTGCGTCATCTGTGGATCTGTTGGGGCGGTACGCGAATTGGAGTGGGTGTAGTGTTTCCGGGATGATGGTGTTGATGTGAGGTATGACCAGCCTGTCAAAGCACTTTGACCAGCCTGTCAAAGTGTTGACCCTTCTTTTTCAAGACCTCTGCAATCCGCCCTGGCATGCTGTCAATTAACTTCTGGGCCACATCCTGACTGATGGCAGCCCATTCTTGCATAATCAATGCTTGGAGTGTGTCAGAATTTGTGGGTTTTTGTTTGTCCACCCGCCTCTTGAGGATCGACCACAAGTTCTCAATGGGATTATTGACATATTTGTGCTAGCTAGCCAACGTTTAATTATTGCTGCGTTATGAAAGGAACTAGACACGGACACGAATTATCTGTTTAGTGTGTTAACACACTATTGGTGGTTTGTTGTGACCAAGTGTTGGTGCTAAACTGTGTGTTATTGGATGCTAGCATGCTAGTTAGCTATGGTGTCATAGTTAGCTAGCTGAATAAAGTGGGTTGAGTCTATTCCTTGAAACATTGAACCGCTGTGGTTCACAACAATTCTGAAGGTGGAAGTTGGGAGAGTTTTTGTTCGGGTGGTTCAGTGAAACAATTATAGTTTCTGAGGTGGAAGTTTTGGTGAGGGAGGCCCTGCTCTCTCCTCTCCCAGATGTTTAGTTCATTTCATTCCGATCTCCTCTGCATTATTGTAGCAATTTGCTACAGCCTGTCAACTATGCCTCTGCCTATCCCTGTTCTCTCCTCTCTGCACAGGCTACACAAACGCCTCACACCGCGTGGCTGCTGCCTCTCTAACCTGGTGGTCCCTGCACGCACCCCACACCTGGAGTTCCAGGTCTCAGGCAGCCTCTGGAACTGCCGTTCTGCTGCCAACAAAGCTGACTTCATCCCAGCCTATGCTAACCTCCAGTCCCTCGACTTCCTGGCGCTGACGGAAACATGGATTACCACTGAAAACACTGCTACTCCTACTGCTCTCTCCTCGTCTGACCATGTGTTCTCGCATACCCCGAGAGCATCTGGTCAGAGGGGTGGTGGCACAGGAATCCTCATCTCTCCCAAGTGGACATTCTCAATTTTTCCCCTAACCCATCTGTCTATCTCCTCATTTGAATTCCATGCTGTCACAGTCACTAGCCCATTTAAGCTTAATATCCTTGTCATCTATCGCCCTCCAGGTTCCCTTGGAGAGTTCATCAATGAGCTTGACGCCTTGATAAGTTCCTTTCCTGAGGATGGCTCACCCCTCACAGTTTTGGGGGATTTCAACCTCCCTACGTCCACATTTGACTCATTTCTCTCTGCCGCCTCCTTTCCACTCCTCTCCTCTTTTGACCTCACCCTCTCACCGTCCCCCCCTACTCACAAGGCAGGCAATACGCTTGACCTCATCTTTACTAGATGCTGCTCTTCTACTAATCTCACTGCAACTCCCCTCCATGTCTCCGACCACTACTTTGTTTCCTTTTCTCTCTCGCTCTCCTCCAACACTACTCACTCTGCCCCTACACAGATGGTAATGCGCCGCCGCAACCTTCGCTCTCTCTCTCCCACTACTCTCTCCTCTTCCATCCTATCATCTCTTCCCTCTGCTCAATCCTTCTCCCTCCAATCTCCTGATTCTGCCTCCTCAACCCTCCTCTCCTCCCTTTCTGCATCCTTTGACTCTCTGTGTCCCCTATCCTCCCGGCCGGCTCGGTCCTCCCCTCCAGCTCCGTGGCTTGATGACTCATTGCGAGCTCACAGAACAGAGCTCCGGGCAGCGGAGCGGAAATGGAAGAAAACTAAACTCCCTGCCGACCTGGCATCTTTTCACTCCCTCCTCTCTACATTTTCTTCATCTGTTTCTGCTGCTAAGGCCACTTTCTACCACTCTAAATTCCAAGCATCTGCCTCTAACCCTAGGAAGCGCTTTGCCACATTTCCCTCCCTGCTGAATCCTCCCCCCCCCCCCCCCCCCCCCCCTCTCTCTCTGTGTGGATGACTTCGTCAACCACTTTGAAAAGAAGGTTGACGACATCCGATCCTCGTTTGTTAAGTCTAATGACACTGCTGGTCCTACTCACACTGCCCTACCCTATGCTCTGACTTCTTTCTCCCCTCTCTCTCCAGATAAAATCCTGCGACTTGTGACTGCAGGCCGCCCAACAACCTGCCCGCTTGACCCCATCCCCTCCTCTCTTCTCCAGACCATCTCCGGTGACCTTCTCCCCTACCTCACCTCGCTGATCAACTCATCCTTGACCGCTGGCCATGTCCCTTTCGTCTTCAAGAGAGCGAGAGTTGCACCCCTTCTCAAAAAACCAACACTCGATCCCACTGATGTCAACAACTACAGACCAGTATCCCTTCTTTCTTTTCTTTCCAAAACTATTGAGCGTGCCGTCTTTAGCCAACTCTCTTGCTATCTCTCTCAGAATGACCTTCTTGATCCAAACCAGTCAGGTTTCAGGACTGGTCATTCAACTGAGACTGCTCTTCTGTGTCACGGAGGCTCTCCGCACTGCTAAAGCTAACTCTCTCTCCTCTGCTCTTGTCCTTCTAGACCTGTCTGCTGCCTTTGATACTGTGAACCATCAGATCCTCCTCTCCACCCTCTCCGAGCTGGGCATCTCCGGCGCGGCTCACTCCTGGATTGCGTCCTACCTGACCGGTCGCTCCTACCAAGTGGCGTGGCGAGAAGCTGTCTCCGCACCACGTGCTCTCACCACTGGTGTCCCCCAGGGCTCAGTTCTAGGCCCTCTCCTATTCTCCCTATACACCAAGTCACTTGGCTCTGTCATATCCTCACATGGCCTCTCCTATCATTGCTACGCTGACGATACACAACTAATCTTCTCCTTTCCCCCTTCTAATAACCAGGTGGCGAATCGCATCTCTGCATGTCTGGCAGACATATCAGTATGGATGACGGATCACCACCTCAAGCTGAACCCTGGCAAGACGGAGCTGCTCTTCCTCCCGGGGAAGGACTGCCCGTTCCATGATCTCGCCATCACGGTTGACAACTCCGTTGTGTCCTCCTCCCAGAGTGCGAAGAGCCTTGGCGTGACCCTGGACAACACCCTGTCGTTCTCCGCTAACATCAAGGCGGTGACCCGATCCTGCAGGTTCATGCTCTACAACATTCGGAGAGTACGACCCTGCCTTACACAGGAAGCGGCACAGGTCCTAATCCAGGCACTTGTCATCTCCCGTCTGGATTACTGCAACTCGCTGTTGGCTGGCCTCCCTGCCTGTGCCATTAAACCCCTACAACTCATCCAGAATGCCGCAGCCCGTCTGGTGTTCAACCTTCCCAAGTTCTCTCACGTCACCCCCCCTCCTCCGCACACTCCACTGGCTTCCAGTTGAAGCTCGCATCCGTTACAAGACCATGGTGCTTGCCTATGGAGCAGTGAGGGGAACGGCACCTCCGTACCTTCGGGCTCTGATCAGTCCCTACACCCAAACGAGGGCATTGCGTTCATCCACCTCTGGCCTGCTGGCTCCCCTTCCTCTGCGGAAGCATAGTTCCCGCTCAGCCCAGTCAAAACTGTTCGCTGCTCTGGCACCCCAATGGTGGAACAAGCTCCCTCACGACGCCAGGACAGCGGAGTCGCTCACCACCTTCCGGAGACATTTGAAACCCCACCTCTTTAAAGAATACCTGGGATAGGATAAAGTAATCCTTCTACCCCCCCCAAAAATTGTAAAGTGGTTATCCCACTGGCTATAGGGTAAATGCACCAATTTGTGAGTCGCTCTGGATAAGAGCGTCTGCTAAATGACGTAAATGTGCCCTTGAGCAAGGCACTTAACCCTAATTGCTCCTGTAAGTCGCTCTGGATAAGAGCGTCTGCTAAATGACTAAAATGTAAAATGTAAATGTAAGAGCAATTAGGATTAAGCACAAACAGATTTTACACCTAGTTGGCTCGGGGATTTGAACCAGTGACCTTTTGGTTACTGGCCCAACGCTCTTAACCACTAGGCTACCTGCCACCTCAGACAGATCCAATCTCGTACAAACATCGAATATCCTGTCCTGAACAACATAAAATAGCCAAGTCTCAAGGACGGATAAGCATCAATGAGATAACTTCCAGTTGTCAGTACAGGTCACCCTTGCCCGATAAACAACCGGTATCACCTGAAGCATGCACAAAACCATGTAAACATGCACGAGCTGGGCTACTATGCATCGCCTGCATGTATTTACATCGTGTGTGCATGCTTCAGGAGGCAGGAATATGAACGCACTACCAAAGTTTTGAAAAGTCTGATTAATAATACTTTCCTATAGATATTTTGTCTCAAATTTCCCAAGGGTATAAGGACCAACCACCCAGACAACCAGTTGGTTCCCCAACTGCCGGACCAAATTTCCATCATGCTGGAAAAGGCATTGGTCGTCACCAAACTGTTCTTGGATGGTTGGGAGAAGTTGCTCTCGGAGGATGTGTTGGTACCATTCTTTATTCATGGCTGTGTTCTTAGGCAAAAGTGTGAGTGAGCCCACTCCCTTGGCTGAGAAGCAACCCCAGACATGAATGGTCTCAGGATGCTTTACTGTTGGCATGACACAGGACTGATGGTAGCGCTCACCTTGTCTTCTCCGGACAAGGTGTTTTCCGGATGCCCCAAACAATCGGAAAGGGGATTCATCAGACTTTACCCCAGTCCTCAGCAGTCCAATCCCTGTACCTTTTGCAGAATATCAGTCTGTCCTTGATGTTTTTCCTGGAGAGAAATGGCTTCTTTGCTGCCCTTCTTGACAACAGGCCATCCTCCAAAAGTCTTCACCTCACTGTGCGTGCAGAAGCACTCTGGTGGTGCCCCGATCCCGCAGCTGAATAAACTTTAGGATACGGTCCTGGTGCTTGCTGGACTTTCTTGGGCGCCCTGACGCCTTCTTCACAACAATTTAACCTCTCTCCTTGAAGTTCTTGATGATCCGATAAATGGTTGATTTAGGTGCAATCTTATTAGCAGCAATATCCTTGCCTGTGAAGCCCTTTTTGTGCAAAGCAATGATGACGGCACGTGTTTCCTTGCAGGTAACCATGGTTAACAGAGGAAGAACAATGATTTCAAGCACCACCCTCCTTTTAAAGCTTCCAGTCTGTTATTCTAACTCAATCAGCATGACAGAGTGATCTCCAGCCTTGTCCTCGTCAACACTCTCACCTGTGTTAACGAGAGAATCACTGACATGATGGCAGCTGGTCCTTTTGTGGCAGGGCTGAAATGCAGTGGAAATGTTTTTTTGGGATTAAGTTCATTTTAATGGTAAAGAGGGACTTTGCAATTAATTTCAATTCATCTGATCACTCATGACATTCTGGAGTATATGCAAATTGCCATCATCAAAACTGAGGCAGCAGACTGTGAAAATTAGTATTTGTGTAATTCTCAAAACTTTTGACCATGACTGTAGGTATTACAGACTCGGTCAGGGAGAGGTTGAAAAATGTCAGTGAAGACACTTGCCAGTTGGTCCGCGCATGCTCTGAGTACACGCCCTGGTAATCCGTCTGGCCCCGTGGCCTTGTGAATGTTGACCTGTTTAAAAGGTCTTGCTCACATCGGCTACGGAGAGCGTGATCACACAGTCGTCCGGGATCACACAGTCGTCCGGAACAGCTGGTGCTCTCATGCATACTTCAGTGTTGCTAGCCTCGAAGCGAACATAAAAAGGCATTTAGCTCGTCTGGTAGGCTCCCGTCACTGGACAGCTCGCGGCTAGATTTCCCTTTGTAGGCATAGCGGGATTTCTTGTAAGCGTCCGGATTAGTGTCCCGCTCCTTGAAAGTGGCAGCGCTAGCCTTTAGCTCAGTGCGGATGTTGCCTGTAATCCATGGCTTCTGGTTGGGATATGTACGTACGGTCACTGTGGGGATGACGTCATCGATGCACTTATTGATGAAGCCGGTGACTGAGGTGGTATACTCCTCAATGCCATTGGATGAATCACGGAACATTTCCAGTCTGTGCTAGAAAAACAGTCCTGTAGCGTAGCATCCGCGTCATCTGACCACTTCCGTATTGAGCGAGTCACTGGTACTTCCTGCTTTAGTTTTTCTTGTAAGCAGGAATCAGGAGAATATAATTATGGTCAGATTACGTCTCTGTGTGTGGAGTAAAGGTGGTCTAGAGTTTTTTTCTCCTCTGGTTGCACATGTGACATGCTGGTAGAAATGAGGTCAAACAGATGTAAGTTTGCCTGCATTAAAGTCCCCAGCCACTAGGAGCGCTGCTTCTGGATGAGCATTTTCCTGTTTGCTTATGGCCTTGTACAGCTCGTTGAGTGCGATCTTAGTGCCAGCATCAGTTTGTGGTGATAAATAGACAGCTACGAATAATATAGATGAAAACTCTCTTGGTAGATAGTGTGGTCTACAGCTTATCATGAGATACTCTACCTCAGGAGAGCAATACCTCGAGACTTCCTTAATATTAGACATCGCGCACCAGCTGTTATTGACAAATAGACACACACCCCCGCCCCTCGTCTTACCAGACGTAGCGGTTTTGTCCTGCCGACGCACGGAAAACCCAGCCAGCTCTATATTATCCGTGTCGTCGTTCAGCCACAACTCGGTGGAACATAAGATATTACAGTTTTTAATGTCCCTTTGGTAGGATAGTCTCGACTGTAGAGCATAGAGTTTGTTTTCCAGTGATTGCACGTTGGCCAATAGAACCGATGGTAGTGGCGATTTACTCAATCACCTCCGAATCCTCACAAGGCACCCTGACCATCTCCCTCTGTAACTCCGCCTTTTCTTCACTGGAATGATGGGGATTTGTGCCTGGTCTCTGGAAAGCAGTATATCCTTTGCGTCGGACTAATTAAAGAAAAATTCTTAGTCCAGTTCAAGGTGAGTAATTGCTGTCCAGAAGCTATTTTTGGTCATAAGAGACGGTAGCAGCAACTTTAAGTACAAAATAAGATACAAACAAAATAGCACAGGTGGTTAGGAGCCTGTAAAACGGCAGCCATCCCCTCCGGCGCCATTATATAATATTCCCTTTACTGTGCACAACTGTTGGCCATGGCCTCAAAGCGTATCCTCATAGAGGATGGGTACCATTTGGGGGAACACAAGTTCAGTTGAGGCTCTGACCAACAGTAGTGCACTATAAAGGGAATAGGGTGTACAGTGCATACCTATCTTGTTGCCCCTCTGCCACTTGAAGGTGACCTTGCGGAGGCCGACGTGCATGACGTTGTCGTAGGATTTGGGGGTGTGGCACGCCTGGCCAATTATGTTCCTTTGCTTCATGACTGCGTAGCGTTTGTCCTCGAAGGACTTTATGGAGCGACGTACAGCTTCCATGGGGCTCTGTCTGGCTGCCGTGTCTGAGGACAAAGAGGTATAGAAGACAGACTGTCAGGAATGGAGAGGAATGGAAAACAGACCCGGATACTTTCTCAGTTGTCTAACTGTAAAGGTGAGGAATGGAAAACAGACCCGGATACTTTCTCAGTTGTCTAACGGTAAAGTTGAGGAATGGAAAACAGACCCGGATACTTTCTCAGTTGTCTAACGGTAAAGGTGAGGAATGGAAAACAGACCCGGATACTTTCTCAGTTGTCTAACGGTAAAGGTGAGGAATGGAAAACAGACCCGTCTAACGGTAAAGGTGAGGAATGGAAAACAGACCCGGATACTTGCTCAGTTGTCTAACGGTAAAGGTGAGGAATGGAAAACAGACCCGGATACTTTCTCAGTTGTCTAACGGTAAAGGTGAGGAATGGAAAGGCATACAACAGACTGACTCTACACACTACTCTGGAGCAGTTTAGAGGTTAAGTGCCTTGCTCATGGGCACAACAAGAGATTGCACCTAAGACCTAGGATTTCAACCCCCATCTACCCCCTCATTCTCACCTTTTGATTGGCTGATGAAGGTGCGGAGCTCCCAGCTTCTCCTGGCTGTGCTGCTGGGGTCTCCTCCCTTAGGATAGGAGGGTTCTGATGAGAGAGAGAGAGAGAGAGAGAGAACACAGACAGGCAGTAAGATGGGAGCTATGTCAAGGTAGAAAAACACACACAGGTCAAGTGACTACTCCTACTTTCTGATAGAGATCCATTTTATTTCATTCTTGTTCACAGTCGAAAAGACTGAATTATGCAGAATGCACAGTTACATTAAGACAATATCTTAAACAACTCAACAGGATAATGCAAACAATTAGAAGTGTCTAATACCTTCCCTGTTCTCAGTGGGACTGGAGTGTCGGCTCAGAGACCTGAACTGCAGCTCGGCCGCTACAGACCACAGCTTGTCGTTCTCCTGGAGGTTGGTCCCTCTGCACAGGGAGAGGCAGGTACCGTACAATCAACTACAATCTACCCAAGTTGTCAGACACCAGATGGATATACTAAAAAGCAGGATCAATTAGTTAGCCAGCTAACTGATAAATAACCAGAAATAACAGTTGATTTTCTGGTTCATTAAAAAAAGCTAAACTTAGATATGCGTTTTCGTTTGTAAATCAACAAAAAACAACAAATGATATCAGAATGCCAACTCCTATGGCTATTGTGATGCCATGACAATGACCGTAGGAGACAGCACAAACAGATCTGGGCCCTGTGGTCAACCAATATCAGTCAAGAAAATCTTAGTCTTCTTAATAAAGAGAGACTCCTCTCTAGCTTTCAGAGGTTTGTGATTATTGAGATGGCGGAACCTGACAAATACGTGACATAATAACTCTATACCTCTCAATCCCTACACCACACCCTTAGAAATAGAATGAAAAGAAAGAATCTAGAATCCATTTCTATACCCATCCCACCAAAGTTCAGAAGTTAAACAGCTCAGCTAGAGCGCATGCTTTCATTTCCAAAGGCCAGAAACCAAACAAGCCAACGATCAAGAAGAAAGCTCCATCAGATGATTAGAATAAAAGCAAGGCCACACTACTAATATGGATTAATAGCAGAGTAACTCTGGCATTCTGGCATTTCACTCTTCCTGATGAGGTTGTTGTGTTTCCATCTCTCACGCCATTGACAACCACGTGTTGGAGAAAATGTGTGTTGTGGGACATTGGCTAGGTGGACAAAATGAAAGCGTGGATTAAGGTCTCTCCATATCCGTTGACAGCATTCAGGGTAACACCTGAACTATTCCTTTAAAAGACAGCCCTTATAAAACTGTAGTTTTCATATTGTTATAAAGTGGTGTTTTCAAATGCACATTTCTGTTAGCGGCAACAGATACAAAACTGTCAAAGAAAATACATAGCGGTTAGAGCGCTGGGCCAGTAACCGAAAGATCGCTGCTTCGAATACCCGAGCTGACAAGCTGAAAAATCTGTCTATGCCCTTGAGCAAGGCACTTAACCCTAATTTGCTCCGTACTACCATGGCTGACCTGTAAAACAACAGATTTCACTGCACCTATCTGGAGTATGTGACAACCATTTTTTTAAATATTTTTTTCATCTGGATAAGCATGCAGAACATGCTACTCTCTGGTTCCACTCCAAACTGAGAGACAGTATGGTAGGGGGGTAGGGTAAACCACCTGGTAAAATAAGGGGAAATAAATACAGAAATAAAACCTGAACCTCTAGTTGACAAGTTCAGATGGGAGGGGTGGGATATGGGATATCAGCCTGTGGCTGGGGTGCTCTGGGTTGACAGTACAACCCTGGTAGGAACTGGAACTTGGGGGGTGGGGCTACCTGACGTCATTTGGGGTGGATCCGGGTGCTTTGGTTGGACCGTGTTCCCCGGAGGTGGGGCCCTGAGGGGCGGGGACTGTGCGGGGGCCCGTAGGTAGACACAGCTGGGTCCGTAGGTCGCAAGGGAGACTCCTAGAGCTGGTGACAAAAACACACTGAGGAACTCTGGAGAGTGCCTTGGAGATGAGCTGGTGTGTCACAAGCAGTAACATCCTTTCAAAGAGGTCAACAGTTACACATGAGGTCACCAGTTACAAATGAGAACGTGTTAACTCATACAGCGATAGAAAAGCGTTAATACAAGCTCAACCACCCAATTTAAAACCCATTAGTTACTGCACAAGAGCAGAGAACATGAGGAATATGAGAACATGCAGGAAAAAACACATTTTTATAATAGGCTGTAAAAGGTTCTTAGTGCCTCATTGTAAGCATGACCTTTGACCTACCTGAAGCCCTCTGCATTGGGGATGAACAGCTGGGGGTTGGGGGGGTCACTATGGCAACGAGGGACCTTGACCGGTCGAGGACTGTTCCTGGAGGCTGAGTGTAGGAGAGAGAAAGGGCCATCCTCAACAAGGCCAAGATATTTGACTCCAGCCCCTACTTCAGTTCTGTTTCTACACACTAGTGGTTTGCCACTTTGGGCTAACAGAAGTGTATTTTATTTTATCCAAAGTGACATGTTCATTATGCACATGTGATCCCTGATGGAATTGAACTCACAACCTTGGCATTGCTAGCACCATGCTCTTACCAACTGAGCCACACAGGTCCACATATTTGTGCAGGGGAGCATGGGGTCTTACCTATGTACAGGCCACTGACTGGGCTGTGAGGCTTCCCGATCACATGACCAATGCACTCGTTCATCAGAGCTTGCAAATTCTGCAGAGGGAAGGATTTACATAATCACAATACCATTCTGCAAAATACCCAATCAATTCATCAATAGCGTAGTCAATTAATCAATCAGTCAATGAAGTAGTATTTTACCAGGAAGTCGTCCTCTGGTAAAGCAGAGATGAAGGCAGGTTCGATGGCTTGGAGGAAATCAAAGCCTTGAGTGGCCCAGCGGGGCCTGGTACCCCGGCCACTTTCACATTTAGTGAGGACGTAGTTCATCCACTTCCTGGCGAAAGAGATGTAGCGCTCCCCGATCCGCTGACGGAACTCCCCCGACATCAGACGCACCACCTCCTTGTGGTACTATGGAGAACAAAAAGGACTTCACTGGAACAGTTTAACCCCTACATCAAACAGACTCACAGCACTCTTCTTTGTGGTGATACTGTGAGGAACTTAAGGCTGCATTTAAAACAGGCACACTCAGATCAGCTCTTTGGCCAATAATTGGGCAAAATATCCGAATTGGTTTAGGGGTTAGACTGGGATCCTATCCATTGTACAATCCAGGTGTGCAAAGCTCTCTACTGCTGTACACCTCTGGATCAAAAACGTTGACATTGTGCTGTCAGGCCGTTGTGTTCCGCCCTCATTGCTCCGCCCTCAACTTCCGGACTTGTCTCCGTGCTGTTTGTTGCTACTCGGCTATCTGCCAAACTTTTCAGTTTTTACTTTTAATACATTTACCAACGTCTTAGTTTTTTCCTCCCTCGACTTTTTTCATTCAACTTTTTCACCCCGGACTAATAATAATATGCCATTTAGCAGACGCTTTTATCCAAAGCGACTTACAGTCATGTGTGCATACATTTATTTTAATTTTTTTGTGTATGGGTGGTCCCGGGGATCGAACCCACTACCTTAGCGTTACAAGCGCCGTGCTCTACCAGCTGAGCTACAGAGGACCACTAATCTGAAGATGGTGCTGGCTAAGGCAAAAACTGGCGAGTGCAGCGAGTATAAGGATATTGTTATCCACGTCGGCACCAACAATGTTAGGATGAAACAGTCAGAGGTCACCAAGAGCAACATAGCTTCAGCGTGTAAATCAGCTAGAAAGATGTGCCAGCATCGAGTAATTGTCTCTGGCCCCCTCCCAGTTAGGGGGAGTGATGAGCTCTACAGCAGAGTCTCACAACTCATTCGCTGGTTGAAAACTGTTTCTGCCCCTCCCAAAATATAGAATTTGAAGATAATTGGCCCTCTTTCTGTCCTGGCCTGCTGAGGAGTGACAGACTCCATCCTAGATGGAGGGGTGCTCTCATCTTATCTACCAACATAGACAGGGCTCTAACTCCTCTAGCTCCACAATGAGACAGGGTGCAGGCCAGGCAACAGGCTGTTAGCCAGCCTGACAGCTTAGTGGAGTCTGCCACTAGCACAGTCAGTGTAGTCAGCTCAGCTATCCCCATTGAGACCGTGTCTGTGCCTCGATCTAGATTGAGCAAAACAAAACATGGCGGTGTTCGCCATAGCAATCTCACTGGAATAAAGACCTCCTCCATTCCTGTCATTATTGAAAGAGATTGTGATATCTCACATCTCAAAATAGGGTTACTTAATGTTAGATCCCTCACTTCCAAGGCAGTCATAGTTAATGAACGAATCATTTATCATCATCTTGCTGTGATTGGCCTGACTGAAACATGGCTCAAGCCTGATGAATTGACTGTGTTAAATTATGCCTCTCGTCCTGTTACACTAGTGACCATATCCCCCGTGCATCCCGCAAAGGCGGAGATGTTGCTAACATTTATGACAGCAAATTTCAATTCACACACAAATTTTTTTTTTTTAATGACTGTGTTGTCTTTTGAGCTTCTAGTCATGAAATCTATGCAGCCTACTGAATCACTTTTTATAGCTACTGTTTACAGTCCTCCTGGGCCATATACAGAGTTCCTCACTGAGTTCCCGGAATTCCTATCGGACCTAGTAGTCATGGCAGATATTATAATTTTTGATGACTTTAATATTCACATGGAAAATTCCACAGACCCACTCCAAAAGGTTTTCGGAGCCACCATCGACTCAGTGGGTTTTGTCCAACATGTCTCCGAACCTACTCATTGCCACAGTCATATCCTGGATCTAGTTTTGTCCCGTGGAATAAATATTGTGGAACTAAATGTTTTTTCTCATAATCCTGGACTATCGGACCACCATTTTATTACGTTTACAATCGCAACATATAATCTGCTCAGACCCCAACCAAGGACCATCAAAAAGCTGTGCTATAAATTCTCGGACAACCCAAAGATTCCTAGAGGCCCTTCCAGACTCCCTCCACCTACCCAAGAACGTCGGAGTAGAAAAATATGTTAACCACCTAACTGAGGATCTAAATTTAACCTTGCGTAATACCTTAGATGCAGTCGCACCCCTAAAAACAAAAAACATTTGTCAAAATGAATTTGCTCCCTGGTATACAGAAAATTCCCGAGCCCTGAAGCAAGCTTCCAGAAAATTGTAACGGAAATGGCACTCCACCAAACTGGAAGTCTTCCGACTAGCTTGGAAAGAAAGTACAGAGCAATATAGAAGAGCCCTCACTGCTGCTCGATCTTCCTATTTTTCCAACCTAATTGAGGAGAATAAGAACAATCCAAAATGAATATTTGATACTGCAGTGATAAATTCATGAACTTCTTCGATGAAAAGCAAATTACGGACTCCTCTTTGAATCTGCGTATTTCTCCAAACCTCAGTTGTCCTGAGTCTGCCAGAACCTAGGATCAATGGAGACACTCAAGTTTTTTAATCCTGTATCTCTTGACACATTCATGAAAATAGTCATTGCCTCTAAACCTTCAAGCTGCATACTGGACCCTATTCCAACTAAACTACTGAAAGAGCTACTTCCTGTGCTTGGCCCTCCTATGCTGAACATAATAAATGGCTCTCTATTCACCGGATGAGTACCAAACTCACTAAAAGTGGCAGTAATAAAGCCTCTCTTGAAAAACACAAACCTTGACCTGGAAAATCAAAAAAACGAACAAAAAAAATCACCCATTCCTCTCAAACATTTTTGAAAAAGCTGTTGCGCAGCAACCCACTGCCTTCCTGAAGAAAAAATATTGTATACGAAACGCTTCAGTCTGGTTTTAGACCCCATCATAGCACTGAGACTGCACTCGTGAAGGTGGTAAATGACCTTTTAATGGCGTCAGACCAAGGCTCTGCATCTGTCCTCGTGCTCCTAGACCTTAGTGCTACTTTTGACACCATCGATCACCACATTATTTTGGAGAGATTGGAAACCTTAATATAAACCTTAATCTAAGCCTGGTTTAGATATTATCTTTTGGAAAGATAACTGTTCATCAATTGTACGTTTCGGTGATCCTCAAGGTTCCGTTTTAGGACCACTATTGTTTTCACTATATATTCTACCTCTTGGTGATGTCATTCGGAAACACAATGTCAACTTTCACAGCTATGCGGACGACAGACAGCTGTACATTTCGATGAAACATGGTGAAGCCCCAAAATTGCCTACCCTGGAAGCCTGTGTTTCAGACATAAGGAAGTGGATGGCGGCAAATGTTTTACTTTTAAACTCGGACAAAACAGAGATGCTAGTTCTAGGACCCAAGAAACAAAGATCTGCTGTTGGATCTGACAATTAATATTGATGGTTGTACAGTCGTCTCAAATAAAACTGTGAAGGACCTCTGCGTTACTCTGGACCCTGATCTCTTTTGACGAACATATCAAGAATATTTCAAGGACAGCTTTTTTCCATCTTCGTAACAATGCAAAAATCTGAAACTTGTTGTCCAAAAATGATGCAGAAAAGCTAACCCATGCTTTTGTCACTTCTAGATTAGACTACTGCAATGCTCTACTCTCCGGCTACCCGGATAAAGCACAAAATAAACTTCAGTTAGTGCTAAACACGGCTGCTAGAATCCTGACTAGAACCAAATAATTGGACCATATTACTCAAGTGCTAGCCTCTCTACTTCCTGTTAAGGCTAGGGCTGATTTAAGGTTTTACTGCTAACCTACAAAGCATTACATGGGCTTGCTCCTACCTATCTCTCCGATTTGGTCCTGCTGTACATACCTACACGTATGCTACGGTCACAAGACGCAGGCCTCATTGTCCCTAGAATTTCTAAGCAAACAGCTAGAGGCAGGACTTTCTCCTATAGAGCTTAATTTGGGGGGAATGGTCTGCCTATCCATTTGAGAGACGCAGACTCAACCTTTAAGTCTTTACTGAACACTAATCTCTTCAGTAGGTCCTATGATTGTGTGTAGTCTGGCCCAGGGGTACGAAGGTGAACCGCAAGGCACTGGAGCGACGAACCGCCCTTGCTGTCTCTGCCTGGCCGGTTCCCCTCTCTCCACTGGGATTCTCTGCCTCTGACCCTATTACGGGGGCTGAGTCACTGGCTTACTAGTGCTCTTCCATTCTGTCCCGAGGAGGGGTGCGTCACTTGAGTGGGTTGAGTCACAGACGTGATCTTCCTGTCCGGTTTTGCGCCCTCTCGGGCTCATGTGGTGGAGGAGATCTTCGTGGGCTATACTCAGCCTTGTCTCAGGGTAGTAGGTTGGTGGTCTGTTGATATCCCTCTAGTGGTGTGGGGGCTGTGCTTTGGCAAAGTGGGTGGGGTTATATCCTGCCTGGTTGGCCCCGGACGGGGCCACAGTGTCCCCTGACCCACCCCTGTCTCAGTCTCCAGTATCTATGCTGCAATAGTCTATGTGCTGGGGGGCTAGGTTCAGTCTGTTATATCTGGTGTAATTCTCCTGTCTTATCTGGTGTCCTGTGTGAATTTAAGTATGCTCCCTCTAAAACTCTCTCTCTCCCTCCCCTCCTGGAGGACCTGAGCCCTAGGATCATGCCTCTGGACTATCTGGCCTGATGACTCCTGGCTGTCCCCAGTCCACCTGGTCGTGCTGCTGATCCAGTTTCAACTGTTCTGCCTGCGGCTAGGGAACCCTGACCTGTTCACCAGACGTGCTACCTTGCTCTCGGACCTGCTGTTTTTGACTCTCTCTCTCTACCGCACCTGCTGTCTCGACCTCTGAATGCTCGGCTATGAAAAGCCAACTGACATTTACTCCTGAGGTACTGACCTGTACAACCACTGATTATTATTTGACCGTTCTGGTCATCTATGAACGTTTGAACATCTTGGAAGAACAATCTGGCCTTAAATGGCCATGTACTCTTATAATCTCCACCCGGCACAGCCAGAAGAGGACTGGCCACCCCTCAGAGCCTGGTTCCTCTCTGGGTTTCTTTCTAGGTTCCTGCCTTTCTAGGGAGTTTTCCCTAGCCACCGTGCTTCTATATCTGCATTGCTTGCTGTTTGGGGTTTTAGGCTGGGTTTCTGTACAGCACCTTGTGACATCTGCTGATGTAAAAAGGGCTTTATAAATACATTTGATTGATTTGATTGATTTAGGGGTTAGACTGGTTTAGGTGTTAGACTGGTCAGACAAAAACACGAGGACCAAGCCAATCTTGCTATTATCCAAATGTCTTTATTTCTGTGGCATGTTCAATAGAACATATTGTTAAAAACTATGCAGTGTTTCCGTGTCAGCCTTCCTCAGAAAGATAACAATTGTCCAACCAGACCCAAATAGATCTGTTGACAATTACCTTCATCTAACAGCTCATCACTCTACAGCTCCACATCTCTCCAGCTCCACATCTCTCCAGCTCCACATCTCTACAGCTCCACATCTCTACAGCTCCACAGCTCCACATCTCTACAGCTCATCACTGTACTAACACAACCCTCCAAGGCATTGAGCAGAACATTTTAATTAGTTGCAACACTGTGTGGAAAGACAGACAGCTTTACAATCATTCCCATACACAGTTTACATTCCACACTAGGGGTATTGAGGAAATACTCAGGAAGATTCTAAAGACTCTGACCTAAAGTAACCCACCCTCATGTTGCCACCAGCAGCCCCTGGTTGCCGACTCTAATATAAGTAATATCGCCAGTTAGCCCACTGCTACCCTCCACCACCGAAGCCAAAGTTGTATCCCTGTAAAATGGCTTCTCTGTAGTACTGAGGTAGTATTCCAACTATAACACTCATTATTAGCCCACCCCTGAGTACTGAGGTAGTGTTTCCAACTATAACACTCATTATTAGCCCACCCCTGAGTACTGAGGTAGTGTTTCCAACTATAAAACTCATTATTAGCCCACCCCTGAGTACTGAGGTAGTGTTTCCAACTATAACACTCATATTCGAGATAAGGGATTCGAGACCAGAAAAATGTGAGTCCATTTCAAGACCATGATTGTAATTTTCAAATCACCACCATAATAAGAGTTCAAAATGTCCAGTATTTCTGTGTTCATATTTCAGATTCTTTAGACATTCAAAATAGTGAAAGAATGCATGCTGAGAGAAATAGAGCCACTCTAAAAATGATTACTAACCCAAACACAGTGGGGAACAATGGGCCTTGTCCGCCTTCAGAGAAGGGGTAAGGGTTTATAAAATAATAATTATTTTAATATCATAATTATAATTCTGATAAAAAAAAGAAGAAAAAAAATGAATATATTTCACGTGCTTTGCGATTGTGTAGGCAACTTTGTGCATGATTTCTCTATTGTACTACATAATTGATAAGTTGTATACCTCCACTACTTTGATACACATCAGTAGGGATTAAGAATTGAGTATAAGCAATGCCCACTGAAAGAAATGTAGGTACAGGGCAGATACCTGCATATAGCCATCACTACACCACTGGCCCTTTGTGTTTTACAAAAAGTGCACTCTCCTACATGAGTGTGCTGGTATTACGGTTTCTGTCTATTTAGAATCACAAACCTGTCACACACCGAAGGCCTATAGGTTCGCCACTACACAAACATGTCTATAATAGATATAAAGGCTGTTAAGATACTGTATTAATGTTTCAAGAATATTTGGCCTGGCAAAGCGGTTATGCGCTGACTGAATGGAAGCTGACAATGAGGTTTTTTTTTACTCCGCTGGTCTTGGGAAGAAATTACAAGTCCTCACTGTCCGAGACCGAATCAAGACCGAGTACAAATGTATCCGACACCGAGACAAGACTGAGACACTCAATATGTGGGCGAGTCCGGTCTCGAGTACTACAACACTGGTAGCGCAGCAGCTAAAAGTGGTGCGATATTAGCTAGACTGTACTACAACACTGCTTATCATACACCCACCCTCATCAACCCAACCTTCATATTATTATATATTATAATATAACCTCGAAGGCGAAGTTGTATCCCTGTATCATGGCTTCTCTGTAGTACTGCTGTAGCGTGGCCGACTCCGACTCCTCCACCTCCACCTCAAACTCTGACGTGAACATGTACTCCACCCGGTCAATGGCTGTGTTGATCTTTATACACAGTTGTAAGGCTTCGTTCTGTGGGGGGAGAAGAGGGAAGAGGTGGGTGGAAAGAGAGAAAGACAGAAATAATGAGAGTGTCTGTGTGTCTCTGACTCCCTCTCTAACTAAAAGGAAAAATAAATCACTTTATGAGGTCTGCTTCAAACACACAGGAAAAGTCTAATCGAGGACAGAGGAAGCTAACAGCTTTTGAAAACAGGGCCTCCAATGTGAGGAAGAATAAGAGACAACAGTTATGGGCATGACTTTTGGTTTCACAGCTCTCACTGCAGTATGAACATGACATTTGGCAAAGTAATTTGTGAACTTTCCCAATTGCAGCTCAAACTTGGGCTTAATAGTGGATCTTTTTTTACAACAGGGAAACTAAAAGCAGTATATGATCAAGGTAAATAAATCCAGCGGATGGTACCTTGAGATGCTCCAGGGCGCGGGCGATGAGGGGCTGGCTGGAAGTTTGTTCCCTGTGGAGGGTAAGCAGCTCGTCCATGCTCTGCTGGAAGGTCTTACGCTGGGACACCAGGTGGGCCGACTGCATCACTATCAGGAGCAGGTTCTCCACCTGATCAATTTATTAAGAAAACAATCAATTATGTATTAATTCCTTTGGGCCACCAGGTGGGCCGGCTGCATCACTTTAGGCAAGTCAGAGTCAAGTCTCAAGTCCTTGAGGATGAGTGTGTAGAGTCAAGTCTAAAGGAGTCAGAGTCAAGTCCTTGAGGATGAGTCATAGTCCAGTCTAACAGCCAAGTCAGCAGTCTCTCTTCTCTTACATCTGTCGGTACAATGTTTGTTTGTGGAAAGCAGCTGCATACTATGTTATACATAGGTTCCCATTGCAACCAGGCTTAATAATCTACTTCAGAATGGGAGATGGGACTCTTCTCAAGATCACACACCTTGTCATGGCTATACTGCACATTGATTAATAAATCCTGTTCCCAGAATTCCCACCAACCGACCTTCATGGCCCGTAGCGTGTCCACAGTCTCCATCTGAGGTACCAGTTTGACCAGCTCCCCGTCCCACTGCCACTGCACCGCAGCCTGGCCTGCCTCGCCAGGCGAGTCCCCTGCGCCGTGCTTGCTCATCAGCAGGTAGGCCTCGTCCTCTGCCATCATCTCGTCGGGCTCTTTACTGCAGTCCTTACCAGCTGCAGCGTTAAGAAGCTGCAGGATGAGGGCCCGCTGGTCCATCAGGGAACAGGGGACAAACACCTCCAGCTCCTCCAGCCCTGGGATCTGGACCTGCAGACAAACAGGTTAGCATTGTCATCCTTCAAAGTGGAAGGGACATTCAGGAAGTAAACTGAAATGGCCATTTCATTGAAAAAGCAATGATGAATATTGTAATTTCAGTTTAGTTCCTGAATAGAAACTTCCTGAAATGGAATTGACCCAGACCCTCTGTAGAACACAGAGTGAATAGCACAGAGGGTGGAAAGGAACGAAAGGTGTCATTTGAGGTACCTTGACATAGTTTCTCTCCTTGAGGGCCTCCAGGAGGCATGGTACCCCGCTGGTAATGCTGAAGTCTGCCGCAATCTCCAGGTCCTGTAGTGGGAGGGGGAGGGGGAGAGAGGGGGAGAGAGAGCGAGAGAGAGGCATAGAGAGAAAGTCAGAGCACTCAAAACACCCAATTATTTTATTTTTATACTTCCTATTCTTAACCTGGGAAGTCACATTGAGATTGACATCTCTTTTTCAAGTGAACCCTAACCAAAAAAGCAGCATACATTTAGTTACGTACACAATACAAAACATACATATATGCATTTGCCAAGTAAAACTTAGCAGGAGGAAGATGGGGAAAAACAAAAACTGCAGTCACCTTACGGAGCATTTTGGCAAAGCCCAGAGCTTTGGACGCCCTCTCTCTAGCCTCATGGAACAGTTCCTTGAGTGACCGGCTCGTCTCGATTACCGACCGCCTAGGACAACAAACCAGCTCACCATCAGTCTCTCAGCAAATCAAGTTCACTTTATTATCCCAACAGTGAGGAATTCAGTTGGTCATATTTAAAACCACATATCTAATAGTGAGGTGGGGGGGGGACATTGTTACATAATCGTGATATTACAGCGAAACTTTGACTCCAAGTATCGATTTGTTTTAAAAAAAAAAACATAATATATACACTCAGCAAAAATATCATATCAATATCAAAAATGTTGTGAACAAATTTGTTTACATCCCTGTTAGTGAGCATTCTCCTTTGCCAAGATAATCCATCCACCTGACGTGTGGCATATCAAGAAGATGAATAAACAGCATGATCATTACAAAGGTGCACCTTGTGCTGGGGACAATAGAAAGCCACTCTAAAATGTGCAGTTTTGTCACACAACACAATGCCACAGATGTCTCAAGTTGAGGGAGCGTGCAATTGGCATGCTGACTGAAGGAATATCCACCAGAGCTGTTGCCAGAGAATTGAATGTTCATTTTTCTACCATAAGCTGCCTCCAACGTCGTTTTAGAGAATTTGGCAGTACGTCCAACCGGCCTCACAACCACGCCAGCCCAGGACCTCCATATCCGCCTTCTTCACCTGCGGGATCGTTTGATTAGATGTTCAGGAGTCTTATGGCTTGGGGGTAGAAGCTGTTTAGAAGCCTCTTGGACCTAGACTTGGCGCTCCGGTACCGCTTGCCGTGCTGTAGCAGAGAGAACAGTCTATGACTAGGGTGGCTGGAGACAATTTTTAGGGCCTTCCTCTGACACTGCCTGGTATAGAGGTCCTGGATGGCAGGAAGCTTGGCCCCAGTGATGTACTGGGCCGTACGCACTACCCTCTGTAGTGCCTTGCGGTCGGAGGCCGAGCAGTTCCCATACCAGGCAGTGATGCAACCAGTCAGGATGCTCTCGATGGTGCAGCTGTAGAACGTTTTGAGGATCTGAGGACCCATGCCAAATCTTTTCAGTCTCCTTAGGGGGAATAGGTTTTGTTGTGCCCTCTTCACAACTGTCTTGGTATGCTTGGACAATGTTAGTTTGTTGGTGATGTGGACACCAAGGAACTTGAAGCTCTCAACCTGCTCCACTACAGCCCCGTCGATGAGTGTGGGGGCGTGCTCGGTCCTCTTCTTTTTCCTGTAGTCCACAATCATCTCCTTTGTCTTGATCACGTTGAGGGACAGGTTGTTGTCCTGGCACCACACGGCCAGGTCTCTGACCTCCTCCCTTTAGGCTGTCTCATCGTTGTGTCATCGGCAAACTTAATGATGGTGTTGGAGTCGTGCCTGGCCATGCAGTTAATTGGTGAACAGGGAGTACAGGAGGGGACTGAGCACACACCCCTGAGGGGCCCCTGTGTTGAGGATCAGCGTGGCAGATGTGTTGTTACCTACCCTTACCACCTGGGGGCGGCCAGTCAGGAAGCCCAGGATCCAGTTGCAGAAGGAGGTGTTTAGTCCCAAGGTCCTTAGCTTAGTGATGAGCTTTGAGGGCACTATGGTGTTGAATGCTGAGCTGTAGTCAATGAATAGCATTCTCACGTAGGTGTTCCTCTTGTCCAGGTGGGAAAGGGCAGTGTGGAGTGCAATAGAGATTGCATCATCTGTGGATCTGTTGGGGCGGTATGCAAATTGGAGTGGGTCTAGGGTTTCTGGGATAATGGGCGTTGACGTGAGCCATGACCAGCCTTTCAAAGCACTTCATGGCTACAGACGTGAGTGCTACGGGTCGGTAGTCATTTAGGCAGGTTATCTTAGTGTAAATTGGGCACAGGGACTATGGTGGTCTGCTTGAAACATGTTGGTATTAGACTCAGTCAGGGACATGTTGAAAATGTCAGTGAAGACACTTGCCAGTCGGTCAGCGCATGCTCGGAGTACGCGTCCTGGTAATCCGTCTGGCCCTGCGGCCTTGTGAATGTTGACCTGCTTAAAATTCTTACTCACGTCGGCTACGGAGAGCGTGATCACAGTCATCCAGAACAGCTGATGCTCTCATGCATGCTTCAGTGTTGCTTGCCTTCGAAGCGCGCATAGAAGAAATGTAGCTTGTCTGGTAGTCTCGTGTCACTGGGGAGCTCGCGGCTGTGCTTCCCTTTGTAGTCTGTAATAGTTTGCAAGCCCTGCCACATCCGACGACCGTCGGAGCTGGTGTAGTACGATTAAATCTTAGTCCTGTATTGACTCTTTGCCTGTTTGATGGTTCGTCGGAGGGCATAGCGGGATTTCTTATAAGCGTCCGGGTTACAGTCCCGCTCCTTGAAAGCGGCAGCTCTATCCTTTAGCTCAGTGCAGATGTTGCCTGTAATCCATGGCTTCTGTTTGTTTTATGTACAGTGCCAGTCAAAAGTTTGGATACACCTACTCATTCCAGGGTTTTTCTTTATTTTTACTATTTTCTACATTGTAGAATAATAGTGAAGACATCAAACCTATGAAATAACATATGAAATCATGTAGTAACCAAAAAAGTGTTAAACAAATACAAATATATTTTGTATTTGAGATTCTTCAAATAGCCACTCTTTGCCTTGATGACAGCTTTGCACACTCTTGGCATTCTCTCAACCAGCTGCATGAGGTAGTCACCTAAAATGCATTTCAATTAACAGGTGTGCCTTCTTAAAAGTTAATTTGTGGATTTTCTTTCCTTCTTAATGCGTTTGAGCCAATCAGTTGTTTTGTGACAAGGTAGAAGATATACCTATTTGGCAAGAACACCTCAAATAAGCAAAGAGAAATGATAGTCCATCATTACTTTAAGACATGAAGGTCAGTCAATACGGGACATTTCAAGAACATTGAACGTTTCTTCAAGTGCAGTTGCAAAACCATCAAGCGCTATGATGAAACTGGCTCTCATGAGGACCACGACAGGAATGGAAGTCCCAGAGTTACCTCTGCTGCAGAGGATAAGTTCATTAGAGTTACCAGCCTCAGAAATTGCAGCCCAAATAAATGCTTCACAGAGTTCAAGTAACAGACACATCTCAACATCAACTGTTCAGAGGGGACTGTGTGAATCAGGCCTTCATGGTCAAATTGCTGCAAAGAAACCACTACTAAAGGACACCAACAAGAAGAAGAGGCCTGCTTGGGCCAAAAAACACGAGCAATGGACATCAGACTGGTGGAAATTTGTAGTTTGGTCTGGAGTCCAAATTTGCGATTTTTGGTTCCAACCGCCGTGTCTTTGTGAGACGCGGTGTGGGTGAACGGATGATATCCGCATGTGTATTTCCCACCGTAAAGCATGGAGGAGGTGGTGTTATGGTGTGGGGATGCTTTGCTGGTGACACTGTCTGTGATTTATTTAGAGTTCAAGGCACACTTAACCAGCATGGCTACCACAGCGATACGCCATCCCATCTGGTTTGGGCTTAGTGGACTATCATTTGTTTTTCAACAGGACAATGACCCAACACACCTACAGGCTGTGTAAGGGCTATTTTACCAAGAAAGAGAGTGATGGAGTGCTGCATCAGATGACCTGGCCTCCACAATCCCCTGACCTCAACCCTATTGAGATGGTTTGGGATGAGTCAGACCGCAGAGTGAAGGAAAAGCAGCCAACAAGTGCTCAGCACATGTGGGAACTCCTTCAAGACTGTTGGAAAAGCATTCCAGGTGAAGCAGGTTGAGAGAATGCCAAGAGTGTGCAAAGCTGTCATCAAGGCAAAGGGTGGCAATTTGAAGAATCTCAAATACAAAATATATTTGTATTTGTTTAACACTTTTTTGGTTACTACATGATTCCATATGTGTTATTTCATAGTTTTGATGTCTTCAATATTATTCTACAATGTGAAAAACCCTTGAATGAGTAGGTGTGTCCAAACTTTTGACTGGTACTGTACGTATGGTCACTGTGGGGACGACGTCATCGATGCACTTATTGATGAAGCCAGGGACTGAGGTGGTATACTCCTCAATGCCATCGGAAGAATCCCGGAACATATTCCAGTCTGTGCTAGCAAAACAGTCCTGTAGCTTAGCATCTGCTTCATCTGACCACTTCCTTATTAACCGAGTCACTGGTGCTTCCTGCTTTAGTTTTTGCTTATAAGCAGGAATCAGGAGGATAAAATTATGGTCAGATTTGCCAAATGGAGGGCGAGGGAGAGCTTTGTACGCGTCTCTGTGTGTGGAGTAAAGGTGGTCTAGAGTTTTTTTTCCTCTGGTTGCACATTTAACATGCTGGTAGAAATTAGGTAGAACAGATTTAAGTTTCCCTGCATTAAAGTCCCCGGCCACTAGGAGCGCTGCCTCTGGATCAGCGTTTTCCTGTTTGCTTATGACCTTATACAGCTCATTGAATGCAGTCTTAGTGCCAGCATCGGTTTGTGGTGGTAAATAGACAGCAACGAAAAATATAGATGAAAACTCTTGGTAAATAGTGTGGTCTACAGCTTTCCATGAGATACTCTACCTCAGGAGAGCAAAACCTAGAGACTTCCTTAATATTAGATTTCGTGCACCAGCTGTTGTTTACAAATATACACAGACCGCCACCCCTTGTCTTACCGGAGTCAGGCTGGGCCTATGCCCACCCATGGCTCCATCCCTGCCCAGGCATGTGAAATCCATAGATTAGGGCCTAATTACATTTATTTCAATTGACTGATTTCCTTATATGAACTGTAACCCAGTAAAATCTTTGAAATTATTGCATATTGCATTTATATTTTTGTTCAGTATATATATATATATATATATATATATATTGAACAAAAATATAAATGCAATATGCAATAATTTCATATTATATATATATATATATATATATATATATATATACATACATACACACACACACTACCATTCAAAAGTTTGGGGTCACTTAGAAATGTATTTGTTTTCAAAAGAAAAGCAATTTATTTGTCAATTAAAACAACATCAAATTGATCAGAAATACAGTGTAGACATTTGTTAATGTTGTAAATGGCTATTGTAGCTGGAAATTGCAGTTTTTTTATGGAATATCTACATAGGCGTACAGAGGCCCATTATCAGCAACCATCAGTCCTATGTTCCAATGGCACGTTGTGTTTGCTAATCCAAGTTTATAATTTTAAAAGGCTAATTGATCATTAGAAAACCCTTTTGCAATTATGTTAGCACAGCTGAAAACTGGGGGAGTGGGAGGCCCCGGTGCATAACTGAGCAAGACAAATATATTAGTGTCTAGTTTGAGAAACAGGCACCTCACAGCTTTTATATTGATCTTTACACGGTCTGAGCGATTGCATGTGAAACTGTTACACACTGTTTTAGAAGTCAATTATGTATTGTATATGACTCTAAATGCTGTGAAGAATGCTAGGCTATAGTTAAGTGATAATGCCCGAGAAGCTGGTGTTTGAAGGATATGTTGGCACAGGTGTTGTTAGGCCCAAGACGATGTCGAGGCAAACTGTGCCAATATATCCACCAAACACTGGCTTCGAGGACGTTATCACTTTTATACAACGGGTTACCAACATATTCAAATAATGGTTGACATATTTTCATTAAAAACGTTATTTTGATGACTTTATTCATACTATTTCATCCTTCCACAAGATATAGTCCCAACACAAATCTAGGGTTGCTACCCAAGCCGGCTGGTTGTTCGTTCTATCGGTTTGGCTGCCAGAGACGCGACCCAGTCATTCAGTCTTTTTGTTCTGTATCTATGGACGCGACCCAGTCTTTCGTTCTAAATGTTCCATTGGCATACTGGCTGGCAACGTTCTTATCCCTTGCTTGCTAGCTAGCCAACTACGGCTAATTTACAGTTACGTCAAACAGTGCAGCCAGAATAACAGCAAAGTAACTGCAATTGTGTTTGTTTAAGCTGTTTTCTAGTGACATTTATTTAGATACATCCATAACAATGAGCTAATGATGCACGATTTCTCCTGGCATAGAAAATGTGCTCTCTCGTCAGGACACTGTTGTTCAGAGGAGCTAGCCAACAACACAAATCACTTCAAACTGAAGCTGGAAAGACTGCAGACTAGCTGCACTTCGTTTCGTTTTACCTGTTTTCTATTGATAGTTCTTTGTATATATCATCCCCACTCCCGACACGTTCATGGGACAGCTGGAGATCAAATTTGAATATTTAAACAATGTTGCAAATGTTGGAGAGACAGACAAAGTTTATACAAATCTCCGTTGTTGAAAGCTAAATGTTAGTCTAAAAGAAATGAGATAATGTCTAGACGCTTTTTTATAGTGGAGATCAAGTTTATAAATTGCCTGGCTGGGCTGATGAGACAGTGGATTGCGCAGTCAGCTGGAACAGAGTAAATAGGCATTTTAACGTCATAGATTTAGCCGTTGGTAACTTGTGGAATAGACTCCGGCTGGAATGTGGTTTTAACCAAATCAGCATTCAGGATTAGACCCACCTGTTGTATAAATCTATATATATACACTGAGTATACCAAACATTAGGAACACCTTCCTAATATTGAGTTGCACCCCAACCCCTTTTACCCTCAGAACAGCCTCAATTCGTTGGGGCATGGATTCTACAAGGTGTCGAAAGCGTTCCACATGGATGCTGGCCCATGTTGACTCCGATGCTTCCCACAGTTGTGTCAAGTTGGCTGGATGTTCTTTGGGTGGTGGACCATTCTTGATACACACGGGAAACTGTTGAGCGTGAAAAACCCAGCAGGGTTGCAGTTCTTGACACAAACTTGTCACCTACTTCCATACCCCATTCAAAGGCACTTCAATATTACATCTTGCCCATTCACCCTCTGAATGGCACACACACACAATCCATGTCTCAATTGTCTCAAGGCTTAAAAATCCTTCTTTAACCTGTCTCCTCCCCTTCATCTACACTGATTGAAGTGGATTTAACAAGTGACATCAATAAGGGGTCTTAGCTTTCACCTGGATTCACCTGGTCAGTCTATGTCATGGAAAGAGCAGGTGTCCTTAACATTTTGTATACTCTGTGTATATACTTTTTGCTAGGTTGCGCTAGTCGGCTGAACCAAAACGCCTGTATTTTTCATCCTTTACCTTGTTCTCCATATTCTTTTAAAATAGTGAGCCAACAAGGTTTTCAGCACTTTTATTTCCATCACTGATCAAAATCCATTTTCTCATACGCTCTCGTCTCTCTGCAGCAGACCTATATAATGAGCAATATGTTTGGAACATAAAATCACAATAAAATTAGAGAGAATTGCAATACATATTGTATCGGCACCTAAGTATGGTGATAATATCGTATCGTGAGGTCCCTGGCAGTTCCTACTATCTAAAACATAAAATAAGACATACCTGATCTCGTCTGAGGCTGTACTATCGTCGGCACTTTCCCAGAATTCATCACCACTCCTCTGCAGGCCCGCGTCCAGGAAGTCCCCAGTGGACTTGAGCAGCATCCCAGCAATATCACTGAGAGAGAAGAGGCAGGGTGGGATCTTTAGCCAAGCTGAGCTAACTAAACACAGTGTTGAAGAGGGAGCAAGTTGGATGCTTCCAAGGAGTATAGATGCTCAAAATGAGATAAGAGATACAATAGAACAAAGAAACAAAAATCAGTCAAACACTAACCAGAAGAGTTTCCCTGACTGAGCCTCCCCTCCTCTGATGTAGGGGGTGATGACCTTGGTAAAGTTCCACTCCTTCCTCCAGAACGTTCTTCAGGCTGTGGGAGGCCTGGGGAAGCTGCTGCAGCATCCGGATCCAGCTGTGCATGTAGTCAAAGTACACCTGCAGACAGAGGGATGAATGTGTGGTGATCATCAGCTAAGTGGATCTTTTTGCCTACCTACAGGTAGGTGTATTTCCAATGTTATTCATTTAAATAAAAAGGTGCATGCAGCAGTTAGTTTCGTCTCAAGTTTGAGACGTGATAATCAAATCCAGTTCCTAAATGTGTGTTTTGACAATAGCTTTGCATGGTTTCTCCACCATATGATTGTCACGTGCCAGTAACCACGTTTCTATCCACAGTTTATATTCCAGTAAGTCATGCTGTATAAAAAAATCATGACAGCTGTGATGGAAACAGGAAGTGTCGGTACGATTTCATAAATGTCGACAGACAATTTCTTCGTTCGACATGGTGGGATCTTTTTGTGTTGGTAAAATTAAACTATGCGACGAATTGCGGTGGAAACAATTTATTGCGCAATTGTTGATAGAATAACCATCATGTCGAGGTAAATTTGTAGTCACTCGATGCTATGTTGTGTTGTCCTCCCACTGCGACTTGGAAAAGCATGCAGTTTAGGCTACAGGATGGTGAAAGTGCACGGTGATGAACTTGATGCTCCTTTCCAGAGATACTGGGGAATATATTAATCCTCTGCGGTCATTCTTATTGTATTGGCCTCTCTGCTCTGCAAGCCCCTCTGCTCTGCTCTGCAGGCCCCCCTGCTCTGCCCTGCAGGCCCCCCTGCTCTGCCCTGCAGGCCCCCCTGCTCTCCTCTGCCCTGCAGCCCCCCCTGCTCTCCTCTGCCCTGCAGGCCCCCCTGCTCTCCTCTGCCCTGCAGGCCCCCCTGCTCTCCTCTGCCCTGCAGGCCCCCCTGCTCTCCTCTGCCCTGCAGGCCCCCCTGCTCTCCTCTGCCCTGCAGGCCCCCCGGCTCTCCTCTGCCCTGCGAGCCCCTCGGCTCTCCTCTGCCCTGCGAGCCCCTCGGCTCTCCTCTGCCCTGCGAGCCCCTCGGCTCTCCTCTGCCCTGCGAGCCCCTCGGCTCTCCTCTTGCCCTGCGACCCCTCGGCTCTCCTCTGCCCTGCGAGCCCCTCGGCTCTCCTCTGCCCTGCGAGCCCCTCGGCTCTCCTTTGCCCTGCAAGCCCCTCGGCTCTCCTCTGCCCTGCAAGCCCCTCGGCTCTCCTCTGCCCTGCAAGCCCCTCAGCTCTCCTCTGCTCTGCAAGCCCCTCTGCAAGCCCCTCTGCTCTCCTCTGCTCTCCAAGCCCCTCTGCTCTCCTCTGCTCTGCTCTCCAAGCCCCTCTGCTCTCCTCTGCAGGCCCCTCTGCTCTGCAGGCCCCTCTGCTCTGCAGGCCCCTCTGCTCTGCAAGCCCCTCTGCTCTGCAGGCCCCTCTGCTCTGCAGGCCCCTCTGCTCTGCAGGCCCCTCTGCTCTGCAGGCCCCTCTGCAAGCCCCTCTGCTCTGCAGGCCCCTCTGCAAGCCCCTCTGCTCTGCAGGCCCCTCTGCAAGCCCCTCTGCTCTGCAGGCCCCTCTGCAAGCCCCTCTGCTCTGCAGGCCCCTCTGCAAGCCCCTCTGCTCTGCAGGCCCCTCTGCAAGCCCCTCTGCTCTGCAGGCCCCTCTGCTCTGCAGGCCCCTCTGCAAGCGCCTCTGCTCTGCAGGCGCCTCTGCAAGCGCCTCTGCTCTGCAGGCGCCTCTGCTCTGCACTCCAAGCCCCTCTGCTCTGCACTCCAAGCCCCTCTGCTCTGCACTCCAAGCCCCTCTGCTCTGCACTCCAAGCCCCTCTGCTCTGCACTCCAAGCCCCTCTGCTCTGCACTCCAAGCCCCTCTGCTCTGCACTCCAAGCCCCTCTGCTCTGCACTCCAAGCCCCTCTGCTCTGCACTCCAAGCCCCTCTGCTCTGCACTCCAAGCCCCTCTGCGCTGCACTCCAAGCCCCTCTGCGCTGCACTCCAAGCCCCTCTGCTCTGCACTCCAAGCCCCTCTGCTCTGCACTCCAAGCCCCTCTGCTCTGCACTCCAAGCCCCTGTGCTCTGCAGGGCAGGGTTGTGATATTCCTAAAGTAAAGCTTTGAGTGCTGGCAGCAGGCGGTAGACTAGACTTTGACCCTGATAGTGCTGTGGTTCTGAGCCTTCTTGGAATTCAGGAACTTCGTGTTTTATCAGGTTTCTATCAGACTACCGGCCGGCAGTCTGTTCAGACTCAAATTCCTGAGAAGTAATCAGTGACTGACTGAAGCCAATTCCTACCACACCCCTACCATGTGCTGCTTCAGCTTTGTAGTGATTGGTTAAAACACACTCACTCCACAAATCAGCACACAGTGTTCTCAAGTAGATTTACCAGGAGCTATACCTTTGAGCCTCAGTCATGGGTACTGGCCAGCTATCCAGAGAGACACACAAGCCTCTCATACAGTATACCTCCCTAATCTGGTAGAGTCCCAAACGGCACCCTATTTATTCCCTAGGGGCGATAAAGTCCTAGACCACTGTTATTCTACCAACAAGCAAGCATACAAGGCCCTCCCTCATCCGCCATTCGGAAAATCAGATCATGTACTCCTGCTTCCTGTTTACAAGCAGAAACTCAAACAGGAAGTTCGCTGCTTCCCCAATCAAAAGCCCTGGATTAACACCAAGTTTGGCGCTAAACTCAGGGCTACCGCACACCGAGCTATCGCAGACAACCCTGAGGCTACGGCTGAGGACAGGAACAAGTAGAAGAAGTCCCACTACGACCTCCGCAGAGTCATCAAACAAGCAAAAGGACAATATAGGAATAAGGTGGAATCATATTACACAGGCTCCAACACCCGCTGCATGTGGCAGGGGCTACAGTCAATTACGGATTACAAAGGAAGACCCAGCAGTGATCTGCCCAACGATGCCTCTCTACCAGACAAACTCAATGAATTTTATGCACGCATTGACAACATCGTGCCTGGTGTGAGGGCGGTCACCGACCCACAGGATTGGGTGATCTCGCTCTCGGAGGCCGACGTGAGAAAGGTCTTTAAATCAGGTCAACACCAGCAAGGCCCGACGGTATTCCAGGGCGCATTCTCAGAGCATGCGCAGAACAGCTGGCAGGCATATTCACCTCTCCTTGTCCCAGTCTGTAATCCCCACATTTTAAAATGACCGCCATCATTCCTGTCCCCAAGAACTCTAAGGCTTCATGCCACAATGACTACCGCCCTGTAGCACTCACATCTGTAATCATGAAGTGCATTGAGAGGCTGGTTATGGCACACATTAACTCCATCATCCCAGACACCCTAGACCCACTCCAATTTACATACCGCCCCAACAGATCCATAGATGACGCAATCTCAATTGCTCTCCACATTGCCCTCACCCACCTAGATAAGAGGAATACCTATGTGAGTATGCTGTTCATTGACTACATGGGTCTGAACGCCTCCCTGTGCAACTGGATCCTAGACTTCCTGACGGTCCGCCCCCAGGTGGTGAAGGTAGGAAACAACACTTCCACCACGCTGAACCTCAACACGGGGGCCCCTCAGGGGTGCGTGCTTAGACCCTCCTGTACTCCCTGTTCACCCACCACTGCGTGGCCACGCACAACTCCAAAACCATCAAGTTTGCTGACGACACAACGGTGGTAGGCCTGATCACCGGCGACGATGAGACAGCCTATAGTGAGGAGGTCAGAGACCTGGCAGTGTGGTGCCGGAACAACAACCTGTCCCTCAACGTCAGTAAGACCAAGGAGCTGGTTGTGGACTACAGGAAACGGGGGGGACAGCCCAGTACATCAATGGGGCCGAGCTCCCTGCCATCCAGGACATCTTAATCAGGCGGTGTGGAGGGAAAGACCGGAAAATTGTTAAAGACTCCAACCACCCAAGCCATAGACTATTCTCTCTGCTTCCGCACGGCAAGCGGTACCGGAGCATCAAGTCTGGCACCAACAGGCTCTTGAACAGCTTCTATCCCCCAAGCAATAAGACTGGTAAATAAACAGCTACACAGACTATCTACTGTATATCTAGATCTACTTCTATACTATAACGACTATCAGCCTTTACCTTGCATCTTTATTGACCTTTTCTTTTTGCACCGTCTCTATGCACACTCACAGGGCCATATTTATACCAACTCTACACACACACCCACTCACATACAAGCTGCTGATACCTAGTCACCTTACCCCTATACATACAGTGGGGGGGGAAAAGTATTTAGTCAGCCACCAATTGTGCAAGTTCTCCCACTTAAAAAGATGAGAGGCCTGTAATTTTCATCATAGGTACATGTCAACTATGACAGACAAATTGAGAAAAAAAATCCAGAAAATCACATTGTAGGATTTTTAATGAATTTATTTGCAAATTATGGTGGAAAATAAGTATTTGGTCACCTACACACAAGCAAGATTTCTGGCTCTCACAGACCTGTAACTTCTTCTTTAAGAGGCTCCTCTGTCCTCCACTCGTTACCTGTATTAATGGCACCTGTTTGAACTTGTTATCAGTATAAAAGACACCTGTCCACAACCTCAAACAGTCACACTCCAAACTCCACTATGGCCAAGACCAAAGAGCTGTCAAAGGACACCAGAAACAAAATTGTAGACCTGCACCAGGCTGGGAAGACTGAATCTGCAATAGGTAAGCAGCTTGGTTTGAAGAAATCAACTGTGGGAGCAATTATTAGGAAATGGAAGACATACAAGACCACTGATAATCTCCCTCGATCTGGGGCTCCACGCAAGATCTCACCCCGTGGGGTCAAAATGATCACAAGAATGGTGAGCAAAAATCCCAGAACCACACAGGGGGGACCTAGTGAATGACCTGCGGAGAGCTGGGACCAAAGTAACAAAGCCTACCATCAGTAACACACTACGCCGCCAGGGACTCAAATCCTGCAGTGCCAGACGTTTCCACCTGCTTAAGCCAGTACATGTCCAGGCCCGTCTGAAGTTTGCTAGAGTGCATTTGGATGATCCAGAAGAGGATTGGGAGAATGTCATATGGTCAGATGAAACCAAAATATAACTTTTTGGTAAAAACTCAACTCGTCGTGTTTGGAGGACAAAGAATGCTGAGTTGCATCCAAAGAACACCATACCTACTGTGAAGCATGGGGGTGGAAACATCATGCTTTGGGGCTGTTTTTCTGCAAAGGGACCAGGAACGACTGATCCGTGTAAAGGAAAGAATGAATGGGGCCATGTATCGTGAGATTTTGAGTGAAAACCTCCTTCCATCAGCAAGGGCATTGAAGATGAAACGTGGCTGGGTCTTTCAGCATGACAATGATCCCAAACACACCGCCCGGGCAACGAAGGAGTGGCTTCGTAAGAAGCATTTCAAGGTCCTGGAGTGGCCTAGCCAGTCTCCAGATCTCAACCCCATAGAAAATCTTTGGAGGGAATTGAAAGTCTGTGTTGCCCAGCGACAGCCCCAAAACATCACTGCTCTAGAGGAGATCTGCATAGCGGAATGGGCCAAAATACCAGCAACAGTGTGTGAAAACCTTGTGAAGACTTAGAGAAAACGTTTGACCTGTGTCATTGCCAACAAAGGGTATATAACAAAGTATTGAGAAACTTTTGTTATTGACCAAATACTTATTTTCCACCATAATTTGCAAATAAATTCATTAGAAATCCTACGTGATTTTGTGGAATTTTTTTTCATTGTCTGTCATATTGGTGTACCTATGATCGCTCTGGATAGGTTGAACGTAATGTAAATGTAATGTAAAATGAAAATTACAGGCCTCTCTCATCTTTTTAAGTGGGAGAACTTGCACAATTGGTGGCTGACTAAATACTTTTTTCCCCTACTGTATCTACCTCCATCACTCCAGTATCCCTGCACATTGTAAATATGGTATTGGAACTGACCCTGTATATAATATGCTTACTTACTTATTGTGTTCTTCATATTTCTTCTAGTATTACATTGACTACTGCATCGTTGGGATTTGAGTTTGCAAGAAAGGCATTTCACTGTACTTGTGCATGTGACATTAAAACTATTTAGTGCACTTATTTTGACCAGGGCCCATAGGGTGTAACTTCCCCTGGTTAAAGGATCATGATGCAGAAGCTGTACTCTCTGAGCTCAGTCAACTCTGGGGTACTTCTACACCATACAGAGAAGCTAAGGTACAGGAAGTAAACTCTGGGGTAATTCTACACCATACAGAGAAGCTAAGGTACAGGAAGTAAACTCTGGGGTAATTCTACACCATACAGAGAAGCTAAGGTACAGGAAGTAAACTCTGGGGTAATTCTACACCATACAGAGAAGCTAAGGTACAGGAAGATGGGATTGAAGAGAGTCTCTGCACGATGCACACACTTTGATCAATGCACATTTCAATGGTTTAGGGCCCCATTTCCCAGACACAGGTTGAACTTATTCCAGGACTAAACAGTACGTTCAGTGGAGATCCAATGATCCACTGCATCTTCTACAGTTTAGTACTCAGTAGCTCGTCTGTGTTACAGCCAGCATCTTGTGGAGGTCCTTCTCCATCTCCTCTATGTTATGGTGCAGTTATAATGCATTATAAGACTTGACATAAGCATGTATGACCCCCTTATTATGCCTTATTATCATTTCATGATGATTCTGTCTAGGTTGTAACTTTCCAAAAATGATCTGGTTTCCCAGAAATCCTGGTTGGAGGATTCCTGGATTTCCTGCTTATTTCCTCATAACCCCTGGAATCTTCCAACCAGGATTTCTGGAAACCGGGGAATTTTGCAACACTAATCCTGACTCAGTAGGTCTGTCTTACCATCAGCATCTTGTGGAGGTCGTCCTCGAACTCGTCTATGTTGGCGTTGGTCTGGAGTCCCTGGGGGTCTGTGACCAGCCCCGTCAGCATATACTGGTAATACTGCTTCATCAGGAGACCACCTTTCAACACCTCCTTACATTCACGCACCAACTACAGGACAGATGGAGACTCCGGTTAGCATGGGCATCAAGCCAAGCTGTAATAGGCTGGCCTGGTTACACATCCACCATAGACGATAGAACTGTGCTTTAAAGGAAAATATCTGAGCCAGCACAGTACTGTTCTGGTTGGCCCAATAGAGTGAATCCGACAATAGAGATAGCAAAACAGTGTGCCTGCTGACCTGTTTGATGCTGAGCAGTGAAGGCTCCCCTGCAGGTCTCTGCTCCAGTCTCAGTTTAAGGCACTCGTGTATCACGTTCAGCAGGACCCGGCACAGGACCAGGAAGGCAGGTCGGAACGAGGGGAGGTCCATGTCCAGCAGCTCCTCCCAAGAGACCTGGTCCGCCCCCAGCTCCGGGCCACAGGGGGCGCTACAGGAGGACAGGTGGCGGGACAGCTCTGGTAGGTAGTCACTGTACAGCATGGGGTCTGGGAAGTCCGTGAACTAGGGGTAGTCACGCATACAAAACACACAATACACAGAGAGGTTAGCATGTCGGCAAACTACAGAGCAGGAGAGGGTGAGGACGGCGTGATGAGGTAAGCATAGTGGAATGCAGTTTCCCAAACCTCTTGACTATTCAACTGGTCAATTCGACTGGTCAACTGTGAAGAAAATGTTTCCAAATATCCCTAACAAGAGCAGTGTACATTTCTAGCTTAAATCTCTTGCTGTTTACAAGTTGAGTATGTGGTGAACTGTTTTTCAACCAGCACACCGTAGTTGCCAATGGACCTTGCAGTGCAGTGGCAGCTTTGTTGGAAATCAATTTAACTGTAATTATGTATGAATGAGGGTCATTTGTGATTGTGCAAAAAAAGATTGCATGATTGGCATTCATATTTGCTTTCCCAGATGTGATGGAGAAGACTAGAAGAACGACCTCCATTAAGCCTTATTAAAAATTAAATCAGGGACTAATTCATGACGCTATCGGTGTGATCGAGGTGTAACCTAACCTTAACCCTTACCTAACCTTAACCATTTTAAATGTCAACTTCAATGGGGGGTAGGGTCGTCCCAAGGATCCCGGATAGCAAGGACCATCCGCTATAGTTGCTGGAACTGTGATGGAAAGGACAATGTGAATATCTGATCCTGCACAGTATGGATGGGTATGATAGTGTGAAATCCATAGATAGGGACTCCACACTGCAATCCATGTAGTTAATTGACGACAACCTTTCAACCACTCAATGTTTCGAGACCCGGTGAAGACCTATGAGAGAAGTTGTCAGGAGAATCGATTGCAGTGTGCAGAGTTCTCTCATTCAATATCCAACACCTGCGGGATGGTTTTTCAATACCGTCAAAACTATGATTTTGTTTTATACATTTGAATATTTGTAGCTACTTTCTAAGTAAATACCTGCAGTCAACTTGTTCAATATGTTAGAAGATAAAGACGATTGCGTTCTTCATTTCACCGGTCACATAATTTTTCATTATGAAACTTCCCGGTAGTCCCCAGTCACATGGTGTTTGTTTACAAGCACACAACGACAATAGACCGGAGCCTTGTGAGTCACCCACTGTTGTACAGCACGCGTCAGGTGATGTAGTTAAAGCATGGAATTTACAACTATACTGAACAAAAATATAAATGCAACATGTAAAGTGTTGGTCACGTGTATCATGAGCTGAAATGAAAGATTCCAGAAATTTTACATAAGCACAAAAAGCTTCTCTCTCTCAAATTTTGTGCACAAATGTGTTTACATCCCTGTTAGTGAGCGTTCCTCCTTTGCCTGACAGGTGTGGCATATCAAGAAGCTAATTAAACAGCATGATCATTACACATGTGCACCTTGTGCTGGGGACAATAGAAGGCCACTAAAATGTGCAGTTTTGTCACAACACAATGCCACAGATGTCTCAAGTTGAGGGAGCGTGCAATTGGCATGCTCACTGCAGGAATGTCCACCAGAGCTGCTGCCAGAGAATTGAATGTTCATTTCTCTACCATTAGCTGCCTCCAACATCGTTTTAGAGAATTTGGCAGTACGTCCAAACGGCCACACAACCGCAGACCACGTGTAACCACATCAGCCCAGGACCTCCACATCAGGCTTCTTCACCTGCGGGATTGTCTGAGACCAGCCACCCGGACAGCTGATGAAACTGAGGAGTATTTCTGTCTGTAATAAAGCTCTTTTGAGGGGGAGAAAACTCTTACTGATTGGCTGGGCCTGGCTCCCCAGTGGGTGGGTCTATGCCCTCCCAGGCTCACCCATGGCTGCGCCCCTTCCCAGTCATTTGAAATCCATAGATTAGGGCCTAATGCATATATTTCAATTGACTGTTTTCCTTATCTGAACTGTAACTCAGTAAAATCTTTGAAATTGTTGCATGTTGCGATTATATTTTTGTTCAGTATAAATGTTTGCCAGCTATATATCTTATAACTATTAAGTTGGCTAATATTTGTTTTGTGCAGCAAACTGTGAGCAGCATTTTTCTGTTACTTAACTTATAACGTATAACTTTATGAGCTGGGATGTCTGTCCTGGAAATACTTTAGGTCAGAGACTGTAGAAAATGTTTGCAATGTGCTTGTTAGCATTCTCTATGTGATTTTACATGTACTTGTTAGCATTGCTTACCTTCGGATAACAAAAGATCAGTGGGGTTTGAAAATAGCACCTCGTGTTCAGTGCTGGTATTACCGAATATCCCGGTATGGCACAAGGTCGGTATGAAGGTATGACAATCTGGATACCGCATTAAAACAGTATGGCAACTCTCGCTCTCTTACCTCCTGTGCAGGCATGTGGCTGAGCAGGGCTGCCCGGGACCTCTGGAGGGAGGGGTCCATCAGCTTGTGTAGCCTCAGGATCAGTTTCCTCAGCCCCATCTGTTTCAAGGCCTTATCTACAAAGGGTCTGTAGATGGCTGTGGGACAGTATATCCCTCCTGTCCCTGTTCCCCCTGACACCACCTCTATAGTCCCAGTCCCGGCCGCTGGGAGGAATTTGTGTTCGGATAGTAAGTGGGGGAATTTAGGAGACAAACAGGGGGAGAGCTCTCCCTCTCCTGGCTCACCCATCTTCTCGCCCCCTCGGGGCTCGTCCGTTCCCCCCTCCTCCACTAGGTCCCGGTCCTCTCCGTCGCTGTCGCCAGCGGTGAAGGTTGCCGTGGAGTCGTTCTCCTCCTCATCTTCACCCTCGTCTTCGTCGCCGCGGGAACAACGTGGCGAGGGGATCTCGAAGACAGGCCAGCCGATACGGGAGAGGTCCCGGAGGCCGAGGACAGTGGCCATGACACGCAGCTTCTGGTTCAGATCCTAAGTGATAATAACAAATATATGCCACTTAGCAGACGCTTTTATTCAAACATTTTCGCAGTCGTATTGGTTACATGTTTTTGTATTGGTCAAACCCATGATCCTGGTGTTGCAAGCACCCTGCATTACCAACTGAGCCACCACAGAACCACAAAAAAAGGGATTGTTTGGCTATTGAGAGGACAATCCTGTTCCCATTGCCCAGCTACTGGTATTACTTTCAATGTGCATGCAGTAAAAACTGTACCTGTGTGATGTTGAGCCAGAGACAGAGTGCCTGCACCCTGCCCTGGAAGTCCCTGGCCGCGTACTTCTCATAGTCCTTCTGGAGGGTCTGCAGGGACGGGTACAGAGCCTCTACTGACTCCAGCAGCTCCATCACCCGTTTCACCTGCTCGAAGGCCAGCCGCTGGCGCTGGAGATGCTCCCTGTACCCCGCCCCTGAGCCCAGGGGGGCCGCCGCGTCTACCGCCGAGGATGGGCAGGCGCTGAAGCCCCACGGGTTGACTGAAACAGCGTGGTTAGTTTCTGGAGCTCCACCAGCAGCAATCTGGTTAGAGTCCCTTTCCTCCCCAGAAACAGTCTCTGAGCCCTGTGTTGGAGTCCTCTGCTTGGGCTCCAGGCCTGGACCTCCACAGCCTGGCTCTGTGAACACTAGAGTCCTCTGGGCCCCCTGGTCTGGAGATGCCCCTGGTACTCCCACTCCTACCCCCATCCCCAGGCCAACGGTGCTGGGGCTCAGGATGTAGTAGTTGACCTTGAAGTGGAGCACCTCGTTGATGATGTCTGGGATGGCCTGACGAGCTGTGAACAGGAACAGGTCCTGGTCATTGACGGAGCGTCTCGCGTGCCACGCCTGGAGCTCCAGCCACACCACCTGCGTGTTTGGAGAGAGAGCGAGATAAAAATATATACCAGTAATAAATAAATGAATAAACAAATATAGAAATAAATCAGTCAAATACCTCATTGTTCTGGGCCGTGTTCTCCAGACCTCGCTGCTCCTTCTCCTTCTTCTTGGACGACATGGACGTGAGCTTCAATAACAACCTTAGCGTTTCAAAGAACTTGAGTCTATCAGCGGGGCAGTCTGTACGGGAAGTCTGGCGATGGGTGCGATGGGCCATGGGGTGAGGCATAGTGACCAGGAGCTTGCCGCTGCCGCAGCCCAGTGACAGGTAGGGTTTCCTGGGGTCCATGTTGAGGGCTGAGCCTCCACCAAAGGGGATGGAGGTCTTGGAGAGCGGGTCCAGCATGAAGGAACCGTCGAAGGTCTTCTTGTGGTCTCTCTCACTGGAACGCTGGGTGGCGCGTTGTTTTTTACCCTGTTTGTAGCTGTGTTGTTGATCCTCAGTTTGTTTGTTTACGTTTATTTGGATCCCCTCAGAAGGGTCGGTCTCTTTCTTGTCCAACTTGTAGTTATGTTGCTCGGCCTCCGGGGGCTGAAGGTGGGCGTCTTGGTCTCGGTCTTGCTCGGCCCCTTCTCTGGGGCTGTTGTGGTTGGGCTGGGATGGGCTGGAGGGGGCCGTCTGCTTGTCTGCTGAGATACAGAGAGGAAAACCCAATAACAGAACCTTTACCCCTCAAGAAAATCCACTCGCTGTGGTTACTTTACTCACTGCTACTGACTCGTTCCAAATGCCGGCCACTATGTTGGTTGCAGTTACCCTAACAGGTAGAGTGGGTTTATCTAATATATATTTATCTCTTACCCTTGTAAGGAGAGTGTCCGGTGGGAGAGCGTCCAGATGACCTGCCCTGGCTGTTCCTCTGGCGTTTGCCTGACATGTTTACCACACTACACCCGTCCTCTCTACCTCGGACTATGTGACCACTGCCTCCATCTTACCCCCTAACTTACCTTTGTTAGGAAAGCGTCCAGCCGACCTGCCCTGGCCTTGGCTGTTCTTCTGGTGTTTCCCCGACATGCGTTTCATCTGCCGGGGGGTGCAGGGGGGAGGCATGCCGTACAGAGTTTCCTCTTCCTCGCTGGGCTTGTCCCACAACTCTTCCACCTCGCAACTCTGATGCCCCAAACCATATTTTGAGGGATTGGCCTGCCTGCGGGACACAAGTAGAGTTGTTTAATAGGGATTCTATGGAAACAAATCTAGAGTCATCAATGGAAAACGTCCTGTGGAGGAGATAAGGGGTGTGGTCAGAGAGAAAACATGTACATGAGTAGAGTTTGGCATGATTCCCTATTTATCCAACCCAGGTGTAAGCCTATCCATGGCAGGCAGCCAGCCAATCTACTCTCATGCAGTGGGTTTGCTCTCCACTTAAAGGGATAGTGCGAGATTTTTGCAATTGGTAGCATGCTAGCTGCTCCCATAGACTTCCAGCTATTGCGCTAATGCTAGCTAGCAATGGCTCGCGAAACTACCTTCAAACTGCACACAGAGACATACAAATGGTATCCATGAGTTCATCTGACTCTGTGAAGTAGAAAAAAGGCTTAATTGACAAAATGTCAAACTATCCCTTTAATGCAGTGGCGATGCTGCAGCTGCTGCCAGACCGATTGTCTGCTCTAGGTACATCTGACTGATGACGGGTTTGACTAGGACGTCTGTCTGGTCTGCAGCCTCCACTGCCTCCAACAGTACCAATGCTGTGTATGACCACAGAAGGCCAGACAGACAGGATAATGGACTGTGGTGGGTGTTCATTGTTCACATCTCTAAGGTAAACACGACTGTCTGATATTTCACCATATTCCTTATTATAGCACTACATAGGGAACGGCACCATATTTGCTATATAGGGAATATGGTGAAATATCAGACATTTGTCTGGAGTCTTACTGTCTAGCTGTTTCCTTCAGCTCCCCAACAGGCTTAATTGACAAAATGTCGAACTATCCCTTTAACGCAGGGGCGATGCTCCCCCAACAGTAGCAATAATGTGTAGGCTATGTACCACAGAGGGCCAGACAGACAGACACCGGAAAATGCAACCTTTTGACTTGGCTGTGCAAGTAAATTGTTTATTGGTCGCGCTGGTGCGAGCTGCACATTCTACCTGGTCACCTCAATCGTCTTATTTTTTTAGCGGATAAAACCATGAATTTGTGAAACAGTAGTGCATTATCCTCATGATTCCTGTAATAAAAAAAGTGTCTGCCCTGCCGCTGTGCCTGCCCGTTTCGCTGGGGCTGGCTGCTGTAATGAGTAAGCCTCTCACACTCTCACACACACACACACACACACACACACACACACACACACTCTCTCCCCCCCCTCGTGTGCCCGTTGTGATTGCATAACAATTCAAAATGCAATTGTGGGGAAAAAACGACTTTGGATGCAACTAGTTGTCCATATTAAGAGGATGGTCTCAGCTTTCTGTAGGTATAATTTTATTTCTCAACGATCATTAATGAGCTCAAAGCATACGTTTTTTACAGTCAAGATAGACCTAATTCAATTGGTGCTAATTCACCACCTGAGGAAGTGGAAACAAAACACATTAGCTAGATCGCTAACTCTAATTATAAACTGGGTGGTTCAAGCCCTGAAAGCTGATTGGCTGAAAGCCGTGGTATATAAAAGACAATATGCCACGGGTATGATGCAAAACTACTTGTTTACTGTTCTAATTACTTTGGTAACCAATTTATAATAGCAATAAGGCACCTCAGGGTTTATGGTATATGGCCCAGGCATTCCACGTTGCACCTTAGAACAGCCCTTTGCCGTAGTATATTGGCCATATACCACAACTCTCGGGCCTTATTGATTAAATGTAATGTCCTAAAAAAAAATAACTGTACAATGAGACCTAGTGCACTTGCGATGGCCGATGCGCAATTTTGCTTGCTCCGTATTTCAAAGCCATATTAGTGCACATAGAGATTAAGGCAAATTCATCTCTATTGAACAACAAAAAAGCCCTACTTTGACAGTAAAATAACAGAAATGGCCTAATTGTCCAAAATCTATGATAGTCACTAGATTAGGTCGCATATCAAAATGTTTTGAATCATGCATTCCTGCTTGGACATGGTATTCAATAAATATGTTGTTACATCTAACATCTCAGTAATCAATTACACCTCTTAATAAAGCATTGTGAATTACATAAGATGACAACTCAAATGTATTATATTGTGTGACCCTGCGCAAATGTTATTCTGGAGTCCTGAATGGGTTATGGGGATTCACATTTCATTACTAGGTAAACCTCACTGCTTGTTCTCAGCCAGAAGAGAGCAAATAGTACCCCTCTGTAGGGTTGTATCCGGACCCTTCTGCTTCCACACATTTACATTTTAGTCATTTAGCAGACGCTCTTATCCAGAGCGACTTACAGTTAGTGAGTGCATACATATATATTTTTTTTTCATACTGGAATCGAACCCACAACCCTGGCATTTCAAACGCCATGCTCTACCAACTGAGCTACATCCCTGCCGGCCATTCCCTCCGCTACCCTGGACGACGCTGGGCCAATTGTGCGCCGCCCCATGGGTCTCCCGGTCGCAACAGAGCCTGGATTCGAACCAGGATCTCTAGTGGCACAGCTAGCACTGCGATGCAGTGCCTTAGACCACTTTCTTGAATGGATTTAACAACTGTGAAATGTAACAATGCTGGAGAAAAATAACTCCCTCCAGCTGATACTTAGAATCCTATGCTGTTAAATCCATGATGGGGAGTGAAGTGAACAAGTGCACATTTCAAAAGAAAGGACTAGGGCTAGTAAAGTGGTTGTCACTAGTTACCACAGCCACAAAGTTAACATTAGCCATTTCATAAATATTCAGGAAAACAAAAAGTAGCTTTTTGGTCTTAATTTAAGGTTAGGCATAAGGTTAGCAGTGTGGTTAGGTGTAAAAACAGATTTTAAGAATATAAATTGTAGAAATAGAATGGGGTTTATGAATTTGTGGCTGTGGTAACTAGTGACGACCCAGTGAAGTCCATCTGCTAGGTGGTGGACAGCCATATGGCACCAGGTCAAAGTTCAAATGGTTAACATAAAGGTCACGTAAAGCCACCCCGGCTCACTTGCCCCCTGGTGTGTAAAAAGCAGTGACCTGAAAATGTTATGAATACAAACCAAAAAGTAGATTACAACGGCGATGGACAGAGAGTGTTGCCACTGCTCAACAAGAATAGCCTACGCAGCTGCAAACACCTCAAACAGGTTGACACATTTACACCGACATCACCCCAGTATTCCTACCACCGGAGGTACCACACACACAAGCCCCCTTTATGAGTCACACAAGTGCACATATTTTTCTCTTTGTAAGAAAGTATTCAGACCCCTTCACTTTTTCCACATTTTTACGTTAAACCTTATTGTAAAATTGATTACATTGTCCCCCCCCCCCCCCCCTCAATCTACACACAATACCCCACAATGACAAAGCAAAAACAGGTTAAAAAATAATAGAAAATGTATTACAAATAAAAAAACGGAAACATTACATTTGCATCAGTATTCAGACCCTTTACTCAGTACTTTGTTGAAGCACCTTTGGTAGCGATTACAGCCTCGAGTCTTCTTGGGTATGACGCTACAAGCTTGGCACACCTGTATTTGGGGAGTTTCTCCCATTCTTCTCTGCAGATCCTCTCAAGCTCTGTCAGGTTGGATGGAGAGCGTCGCTGCACAGCTATTTTCAGGTCTCTCCAGAGATGTTCGATCGGGTTCAAGTCCGGGCTCTGGTTGGGCGACTCAAGGACATTCAGAGACTTGTCCCGAAGCCACTCCTGCGTTGTCTTGACTGTGTACTGAGGGTCGTTGACCTGTTGGAAGGTGAACCTTCGCCCCAGTCTGAGGTCCTGAGCGCTCTGGAGCCGGTTTTCATCAAGGATCTCTCTGTACTTTGCTCCGTTCATCTTTCCCTCGATCCTGACTCATCCCCACAGCATGATGCACCGTAGGGATGGTGCAAGGTTTCCTCCAGACATGACGCTTGGTATTCAGGCCAAAGAGTTCAATCTTGGTTTCATCAGACCAGAGAATCTTGTTTCTCATGGTCTGAGAGTCCTTTAGGTGCCTTTTGGCAAACTCAAAGCGGGCTGTCATGTGCCTTTTACTGAGGAGTGGCTTCCGTCTGGCCACTCTACCATAAAGGCCTGATTGGTGGAGTGCTGCAGAGATGGTTGTCCTTCTGGAAGGTTCTCCCATCTCCACAGAGGAACTCTGGCGCTCTGTCAGAGTGACCATTGGGTTCTTGGTCACCTCCCTGACCAAGGCCCTTCTCCCCCGATTGCCCAGTTTGGCCGGGCGGCCAGTTCTAGGAAGAGTCTTGGTGCTTCCAAACTTCTTCCATTTAAGAATGATGGAGGCCACTGTGTTATTGGGGATCTTCAATGCTGCAGACATTGTTGGTGCCCTTCCCCAGATCTGTACCTCAACACAATCCTGTCTCGGAGCTCTACGGACAATTACTTTGACCTCATGGCTTGGTTTTTGCTCTGATATGCACTGTCAACTGTGAGACCTTATATAGACAGGTGTGTACCTTTCCAAATCATGTCCAATCAATTTAATTTACCACAGGTGGACTCCAATCAAGTTGTAGAAACATCAAAGATGATCAATGGAAACAGGATGCACCTAAGCTCAATTTGGAGTCTCATAGCAAAGGTTCTGAATATTTGTGTAAATAAGGTATCTGTTTTTTACTTTTAATACATTTGAAAATAATTCTAAAAACCTGTTTTCGCTTTGTCATTATGGGTATTGTGTGTGGATTTATGAAGAAATGTTAAAAAAAAAAATAATCCATTTTAGAATAAGGCTGTAACGTAACGAAATGTGGAAAAAGTCAAGGGGACTGAATACATTCCGAATGCAACAGATCAGACCTTTTAGTTTAAAATGTTGATATTTTTATTTCTACACATTCTTCACAGCTCGTCAATGCGCATATGGTTGTAGGCCAAGCACGGATGTTCCAAAATGCAAATTAGAAGGAAAACACAGTTCTCAAAAGCGCGCACCGCTCGGTGAGCGGTTTCATGTGACAGAGATGAAAATACCGGTTAGAAATTAAGAGGGGAGATCTAAAGATGCATCAACTAGCTCGGGTCACTAATGG